GAGAAAACCACACATCAGCCAAGTAGGGATTCTGAGCAGACACCCCCCCACAAAAAAAAAGAAAAGAAAGAAAGAAAGCAACTAATATTTAAAAGCAGAGAATGAACATACATGTGAAATATACACTATGTACTTACACAAAGTAAAATAACTGTGTAACTGGGCACCATGACTCAGCTTTAGACTAACAATAGACCCCTTCATTCAAAGTAAGATAGCTCTCTCAGTCCCTTCAGCTTGAAGGGACTGAAGGGTGTTCCAGTCTGTGACCCAGGAGAGCGAATGCAGCTGGCCTGTGTGCAGAAGCATTTACTGCATTTGCAGCTCAACTGGAAGTCAAGCAAGGATGGCACACTGAAAAAAAATGACAGGAAACCTGGATGAGTTCAACTTCCATCCTGTGAGGGTCACTTCAATTAATGCCTTTAGAAGAAGCAAATCCCTCCAAACGATTTACACCCACGAAAACTGAAAAACACTGGCCAGCGTGTTTGTCATTCAATCAAATACCGTCACGTGATAGGCGTAGCACACTGTCCAGTCCGGCAGAACTGTGCTCATTTCTTTACCATATTAATTCTGTACTTTCCAAAACTTCTTATCTTCTTCAGTAGTTTCTAGGAGGAATGCCTACAGCTTCCAAGTACATAAATTCCCAGCCCAGTGTTCCACAACTGTCTTTCTGTATTCTGTGACATATCCCCAAACTGAGTTCCATACCTGAGAAAATGATCTATTTCTTATGCTTTTAAAGCCCAAATGAAATTGTGTCTGAACTTATACCAATTTATTCTCCTCTAACCCTTGCGAGTCAAAGTCAATAAAGTATTAAAAAAGATACAAAAAAAAAAAAAAATCAGCCCTCACTCTACTCTTCTAAAGCCACTTCTAAAACACGTTTAGTGGAGAACCGGCAGATCATGGGAGAGGTCCAAGTACTAGTAATAAAGAAAGATGCTCTGGGCCACACTTCACACACTTCAGATAAGGACATACAGCAAAGTACTGCAACTTTGAGACCACGAACTGAAAAGAAGCTTATATACAAAAAGTCCTTATAACTCCACCAAGAAAAAAAAAAACAGCTTGCCAAAATATAGCCTTGAATTGTGCAACCAGTCTCCTATTTCTTCTTATAAAATATACTGGCAAAGACCAACAAACCCACACTGCTACAAAGAAACCCATCCCCACATTCCATGGCTTCAGGGCTATTCCCATAAACATAGGGTCATAAAAAGCGGCCAGCAAACTCCAGCAGCAACACTTCATTTTAAAGAGAAAATTGAAGACAATGGCATGGACGTGTTTTTGTCTTCGTTTAGAAAAGTCAGCAGGAGCTGCTAAGCCTACCTTAGACACCCACAAAATATTACACAATAAAGTGCAGTGAAATGACAACTTTTTAATTCTCATTCTTTATGAACCAGGTCAGGTCGGCATATTTGTACATTAGGACAACAGAATTTCAAGGAAATGGAATGTTCAAGTCCTTGCCAGTGGCTTATTTACCTCAAAATTAAGTTAATATCCCAAAATTCCAGTGTTCTAAGAAATGAAAATGGCTTTCACATCTCATCACAGGAAAAACTGTATGCTTCTGAATTCTACAAATAAAGATGTTCAAGCCTCTGGGTTGCTCTTCTATTTTCATCTTTTTCACTTTTAACATATGTAAAAATAATAACAATAAAACAGAGGGATTTAATGTATCAAGCCAGGAAATACCTTTCATTTTGATTACATATTATTACAAAACACAACAATTGAGAGGTTTTAATGTACTAAACCTTTGTTAATTTTTTCACATGCATCATTACATGCGAGAATCATTAAATTACACATTTTCAGGCATACTGTCAGGTTGTAAGTGTTTCTTAACACTATTAATTAAAGAACCTCATAGTCACTGAAAAAAAAAAAACTCCAGCAATTCTATATAAAAAAAGCAGAATAAATATGATCGGAGGGGTCATTAAAATAAGTAAGGCATTTGTGATATTAACAATTTTGACGCAATATAAATATTATTAGGCACAAATTTTCATTGGACACTGTTATTGGGAGTGTTTAAACTAAACCATACAAGGGGTTAAAAATAACTACACTAAAAGGCCAAGAGCCTTGCAGCCCAGTTGAGCCAACATTCCCTTCTCTCCTCCCCTCCCTCCCCTCCCAATCCTGTCCAGTTCCAGAATGAATTGCATGCCCCACTGCACAGGCCCAAAAAGGTCACAGGAGATGGCAGACACTTTTGTAAGAGAACAGAAATAACTCGGCAGCTTTGTTATCGTGGTCGCTTTTAATCAGTATGTTCAAAATCCTTTAATTAGCACTCTGTCTACACAGGGAAAGCAGTTCTGTGCCAGGGAAGGGCATGTATGGAGGTATGCAGTGTTCCTTGTGTCAGCATCACAACTCGGATGCTGACATCTCAGGCATCTCAGCCTGTCTGCCAGGGAACTGAAGTGCATGAAACTCTATAAGTCTTGGCACCACACAACAGATAAAAGTATGCTTTACATCTTTAGTGGCAAACAGCAAGGCAATGACTGAGTTTGTTTCCCTTAGGTACCAATTCTTTTCTGAACCTTTCCTCAGAAAAGCCTGAAATATTTTAAACTAAGGGTGTTGAGATGGCTTAGCAGGTAAAGGTACCTGAGCTCAGGCCCAGGATCTCACAGGTGGAAAGAGAAGAAACTCCTACGAGTTGTCCTCTGACTTGTACCCCGTACCATGGCATGCTCGTGCACACACATACAGGCACGACTGAAGGATACTGTAAGAAGCTTTCAAACTAAGCAAAGTTCTTTAGCAAATTAAAATAGGAAGTGAAACATTAAAGTAAGATAAAGTTAAGATAAAACCATGCTACTTCACCCTCATCACGGATCTTCAGTGTGTAAGTACTACCTCATGTGACTAAAATGTTCACATGGATACCTCACACTTAAAACTAAGCACAAAGTCTTAGCACTTATATATTATCTAAATACACTTTCCTGAAAAATATGATTAACTAGAATCTGGAAAAATATCTGCAACAAGTTAAAGATAAGTTATTTGCAAATTCACTGCCAAGAAACAATGGAACTCCATTACTTAAGAGGGGATTTGTAACTGCCAGGCAGTGGTGGCGCACGCGTTTAATCCCAGCACTCGGGAGGCAGAGGCAGACGGATCTCTGGGAGTTTGAGGGCAGCCTGGTCTACAAGAGCTAGTTCCAGGACAGCTTCCAAAGCTACAAAGAGAAACCTTGTCTCAAAAAAAAAAAAAAAATGAAAAAAAAAATAGGGGATTTGTGATATCTGCAATAAGCCGGGGGCACTAACATTTCTTAAAATATTCAAAATCAAGTAGGATTTACTATGTACTGAAACAAAGTATATACAAAAATATTTACATGTAATATATATATATATATATATATAACATATAATGTATATGTATATATAAGCATATGTAACTAAAGAATTCCAGAGACAGGTGTAGCAGCACATACCTATAATCCCAATACTCAGGAAGCTGAGACAGGAGGATCTGGTACAGCATGACACTAGCCCAAAAGTCAAAAAAGAAGAATACAGAGAAAAGAAGCAAAGAAGGGAAGGAAGAAGAGAGAGACGAGGCATGAAGGAAGAGAAACAAGGAGGGATGGAAAGAAAAATGATATAGAGAGAATGGTGATGCTAAGAAAACTTACAGCAGAAAAGCAAGGCATGGGAACTATGTATAACATGCTAGCATTTCAACAAATGAAGTTCATATTTATAAGAAAATGCAACAAGTCTCTACAAAGTTATGCAAGTAGAAGGCTGTGAAGATGACTCAGTGGGTACAAATGCTTGCCCTGCCAGCCAAAGGACCAGAGTTTGAATCCCCAGCACCCATATAAAAAGTCAGGCATGGCTGTGTCAATGTGCAGAGACAGGCTGATCCCAAGAGAGCTCACAAACCAACCAACCTAATGGATGGGGAAGTCTGGTTCAGTGAGTCCCTATCTCAAAGCAGTAAGGCACAGTGATAGCTGATGTCCAACCTCCTGTCCAGCCTGTCCAGAGTGTGCACATCAACATACAGACATGCAAATATATACACAAAGCAAGTTAGGCAAATAAGTAATAGTAATAATTACCTACTGGTGAGTGAAAATGTCCCTGACAGTAAAAGTTATAATTATTCCTTTCTCAGAATCACCAAGTCATTCTAAGACCAGGCATGATGGTACACACCTCTATTCAGCACTCGGGAGGAAGAGGCAGGTATATCTCTGTAAATTCAAAGCCTACAGGCTATCCAGGGTTACACAGTGAGTCTCTCAACCAGTCTCTCTACTGACCCCCACTCCTTTTCCTTCTCCCTCTCTCTGTGTCTACACACACACACACACACACACACACACACACACACACACACCATTCAACTAAATCCCAAATGAGGTAAAATGTCAAATCCCAACTATTCACCGGCCGACAGTCTAGCTGGAGATCCACACCCTTCATTCTCTCCACAGATCCAGGTAGCTTTTTTCCATCTTACTCATAACTATTACCTCCCCCGGAATATGAGGTGAGGAAACAATACCAAAACCAGTCATGACCGCTAGTGTTAATGGACAGCTTTTGGAACTGAAAGGAGCCATTAAAACTTGACAGTACGATGCCACAAAAGTACTTCTGAAGAAACAACTGAAACCCAGAGAATTTCCCGAACAAGGGGCAATTCAAAACCTTAGAAGTGGCTCCGTGGCTAGATGTTTTCTGTTTTAGTTTTGCTCATGTCAGAAAAAAATGCAAACAAGCTGCACTGAACTAAAATTGCCCTTGATAAGTACCGTCTCTCTGCATCTTCACGAGATAGCCAACCCTGGTAAGAGGGGGAAAACTCCTACAACTGGAGTAAGTGGGGCATACAGCAGAGAGTTCACCGGCACAGTCCTGAGGGTCCCAGGACCAAACAGTGAACGAGTGTGTATAGTAACATCTGTAAAGGTTGCTTACACTCGAGATTGTCAGGGGCATGTTGAAATCCTTGCCACCTTGGAGACGGAAACCCCAAGGAGCTGGGCCGACCAACGACACACTGTAGTTGCTCATGGTTCCAAGGATTCAATGTGCAGTTCCAAACACAATGAGAGAAACTACAAAAGAAAATTAGATGGTTAATGGAAATGTCTATTAGAAACCAAATTACACATGTCAAATGCACTGCCTTTCAAGCCAACAAAACTGTTTGGTATTTTTGGGCGGGATGAAAGGACACACGGGTTATATCTAGCAAACTCTTGATTAAGTTTAGCTGAGGAAAAGGAATCGATGTGCTAATTAACACTCAATTTGTGTCAATTCCCTGTCAGAATGCACTTTTAGACATCAGCCAAGATTTATAAACTGCAAAACCAAATTTGTGGAGTCCCAAAGACAAACCTTAATGTTTCACTGGAAGAATTACATGCCCAGACTAGAACAAGATTTTATTTCAATTGTAAGTCAATGTGATTTTCCTATTCCCTCCATCTTGTGCATCCTTTTTTTTTTTAACTGTAATCAACAAGAACACTTTAATCCCACTTCAGTTATGTGAACATATTAAAGGTACTACAGATCTGATGGTCCTATTTGTGTCTTTTAAATGACAAATCATTTAAAACTGAGGTGAGCTTCTTCTACAGGAATATGGTATTTTCCACAGTTAAGGGAATTTAAAGTGTTGTTTTAATCTCAGTATGTTCAGATTATCTACATGTGATTCTGAATTTGGTGTAATGGAATAGAAATTTCAGTGGGATTTAAAAGGTGGAAAAGTATATTAAGGCAGGAAAGATAGGCTGCTGATTTAACAGTTCAGATTTTCTTAGAAGTATGATGTGTGTCTAAAATTTTTGTTGTTTTTGTCTATTTGTTTGCTACTGGTACTGGGAGTTGAACCTAAGGCCTTATCGTTCCTCCATAAAGGCAATGCTAGGCTATATTCAAGAACAGGTTGTATTTTAGTCTGAAGCTTTGTTTTCTTTTACCCTCACAGATCATGCAGAAAAGCAGAGTAAATGAAGCTACAATAACCATAACTAAAGTATAAGATCAACCTTAATGACGCTAAATTGAAACCTTAGAAAACTGCCATAATGTAGCCCTCTTTTTTTCCCCTGTCTTGCTGTACTTGAACTCACAATGACTCCAGTATAGCTCTTTTAAAATTTACCTGAGTGTCCCACTGGTAATTAGGAGGCATTTGAGAAGAATGAGAGCTGTTCCCTCTTTAAAAAATGAAAAAAAAAAAAAAGAAAAGAAAAGAAAATATTAAGGACATACAGTTCTCCCATTTAAAAAATATGGTAGGTATATGATTTCATAACTTTAAAGACACTTGTCAAAACCAAGCTCTGAGGGATGGAAATGTAGCTCAATGGGAGCTATATAAATTGCCTAGCATTTATGAGACCTTAGGTAAAATTCCCAATGCAAAAAACAAACAAGAACATATTTCAGACCTGCTTAGAAAATGAACTGTTAAGTCAACCACCTCAATATACTACTTATTAAATGCACTCAAATGTCTAGCCATCAGATCAAATTCGGCAGCACATGTTCCACCGGGGAGCTGGCGTTTAAACAGATCCCTTCTCCTGAAAAGGGGGAAATGATGCAACACTTCCAAGTTCCTAAAGAAAAATGACTTCAGGGATAATGCACACTGCAGAACTTTTCAGGTGGGATGGCTGTCCTGAACGGCTACTGCGCAGTGAGGTCACTTTAGGACAGCAGTGGTGAGCAGGGGCCACACAAAGAGACCCACCCACAGGACGCCAGAAGTCAAACAGTGAAGCTGCAGGTGAAAACAAATGGTAGGGAGTGAATAACATGCCACACGAAATCGCCTTCTCCTTATAAAAAGATCTCAGCAAGAGCTGTAGAGAATGGCCAGCAGAGGCAGTCTTGGTAGTGACATATAGTACAAATAAAGCTGTAAGCCAACTGATACTTGACAGGCCACTGTCCTTTTTTAATCTTTAACTGTGCCAGGGGAAGAATGTGAAAGTTATACTGAACTTCCTGCGGTCCCATTCTTCCCTAGGAGAAAAATGTATGTATCAACCCACATCCATTAACTTCCCTTTTCTTAGGGAATCCCTTTCTGATTTCTCCCATTTGTTATTAAATCTTCTAGCAGGGGCCAGGTCAGCCACTGCATAAAACCGGTTGCCTCCTCTCTAAGTTCCTCTTCTGCTAGCTTCATTTGGAATTCATTTGTGTTAAAATATTCTATCCTTAAGCGATGGCAATATTTTTATTGGCCTTTTCCAAGTCTCCCCTATGTGGTTATTAGTGTCCAAACCCTAAAATACCAACAGAACAGGCAGGAAATAACAGCTTATTCTGCTTTCAAACAAGTAAAACTGTTGGAATTTCTGCAAAGCTCTGGCTGGATTTTCTTTTAGGGACTATCTAAATTATGCCTTCCACCTAGAGCTAGTGAGGAACGTTGGACGTGGTTTCCCACACTTCTAAGTCAGTTTCCTTGGTGAGTGAAAAGGGGGAGCGATCTACCCCGAGTGACAAGCCCTTTAATTAAAGAAGACTATCTAGAGGTTCTTTTCACCTACTGAGATATGGTGGTGGGAGGGCTGAAGAACTAAGGCACCGGAGGAAAGCAGAGGAGACGTTCCCAGCTGAGGTTCACGCCTAGCCCTGTTGGCCAAATAAGGTTCCCCAGCCAGCAGTTTCCGTGGCAGGCGGGTTCAGACGTCCTCGGGTCAAGGAGGAGGACCTGGGATAGGATCCGGCGATCACACCCTAGACCTGCCCAGCCCAGCCACGAATTTTCTTTCCAAGTTCTGCCCAGTCCATACGCCCTTCCTTTTTCCACTCATTGTCAAACGCAGCTGAAGCACCGTCTGACAAAAGCCCCCAACAAGTAAACCGGCTCCAAAACTCCCGCGACCGCGACGGATTTGCTAAATGGGCTTCCTCTCCGCACTCGGCGACCTTTCCCTAACAGGTTACACACTTGCAAACACTGAAGGGAGGGGCAGCAAACGCTTCTGCCCAGCCTGGAAGCCAGCAAACAAACGAGCGCCGCTTGGCCGTGCGGGCGCACCTTCTCCGCACGCCGGAGCCTCCCGGGGAGCCGGTGCACCCGCAGCCCGAGGTTGCTGCCCCTCGCCGCCTGCCCCGGCTCTGGGCGGGCGGCCCCTGGTGCGCCCGGCTCTCCGAGCGACTGTTCCGGGCTGCGGGGCTCCATCCCGCCGCGCGCCGGGTGCCGGGTGCCGGGGGTCCTCTCCCACCTCCGCCGCCGCGCGCACCCGGGGCACCTGGAGAGCCGCGGCTCCCCGGGGGACGCGCGCCCCGTCCTCCTCCCGCCCCTCGGCGCGCAACAGCCCGCCACCCGCTTCTCCTCCTCGCCCCGCGCGGACCACGGCGCCCCGCCGCCGCCCGCCGCCGCCCGCTCACCTCCGGACCCTCGCGGCGCAGCCTCCGCCTCCGAGCAGCGCTGACAAGTGGCTCCCAGTGCCTGCGCCGTCCCACTCCGGCCGGCCGGGAACTTCCGCCTCCGCGCTCGCCCCGCCTCGCCCCCAGGCCGGCCACGCCCCCTCCGCGTCTGGCCACACCCCAAAACCGGGCTGGGCGGGGCCGCGCCTAGCAGGCAGTGCAGTCTCCCGGCCCGGGCGCCGGGACTTGCTGGGGCTGGCTGTGGCCGCCTCAAAAAAAAAAAAAAAAATTCCCCGGTGGAGTTTCGGTGGGTGTAGTCTCCGGAGATTTTGAAGGGCAAAGATCTAGGCTTCCGCTTTTCTCTTTTGTATTGGAGCGCTTTTCACTCTGCAGAAACTTGAATTGACCCGCAGTTGATCTAAGCTAAAAATAGAAAGAAAGAGGCTTTGGCTGGATCCCTGGCGATGCAAGTTCAGTGACTACCGCCCGGTTTTGTGAAAGCCTTCTGTATACTGCGAGAAGTGCAAACTCTGAAGTTCGCTTGTCAGGAAGGTGAAAATCGCTAACCCTAATAGGCAGAAGTTAAATCTGTCGTCACGCTAGAAGACAGCCATGGAAAGCAGAGGCCAAAAGTGATTCAGACACTATATCTTCGGCTTATTTTTCTAAGTCCAAATCAACAACACATTTTCCTACTTCTGGAAAGTTTTTCTTTTTGCCCAGAGAATTTATGCACAAGCAAACATTAATAATGTTCCGTGAACACTCCAAAAGAAATTTGCAGTTTTCTCTTACCCTTTGAATTGGCTTTTAAAATGTGAAAAAGACAAGTGTTAGCCAAGTGGTGTATCAAACAAAAATACACCTCACAGAAGTTCATGACCCTCTCTCTAGAAGTTCAAGCAAAATTCTAGAATAGGACCAAAGCTGATGAAGACGTGGCCTCTAGCCACATGTGACTATTATCATTTGAAATGTGGCTATTGGGGTTTTTAGAGTTGGAGTTAATGCACTTTGAAAATGTGTTATAGCATTCTAATTAATGTAAATTTAGAAACAAGGATAGCATTTCCATTAAATATAACTTTCAGTAGAACATTTCACTATACTGGTGAATATTTCGTGCCTAATTTGACATATATGTACTGGGTTTTTTAAATTTTTTGTTTAAAAGTATATATGCTGATTACATGCTGAAATTATATTATCTATTTATTTAAGACATTAAAATTTAATTCATCTTTTAATGTATAGTAGAAATTTTAGCATAAATGTGACTCGAATAATTTTGTTGGACAGTTGTTTAAAATAACTAGTTGGCAGGGAAAATTTTACTAATGGGAGATTTGTCTCCTGTGCTTTATAGTTCAGATTGCTTTAATATAGGTTATCTTTCACATCTCATTCAAAAGTAAACGAAATTGTTTTTTTAAAGTTACCATTTACAAATACCATGTGTGAAACAAAATAGTAAGCCTTACAATTGCTTTCATGAGATGAATGTCATCCCTACTTATGATTTTTAACAATTGAAGTTGCAACAGATTACATAACATGATGGACAGTAGTCACCAGTGTTACCTCGAAAGAGGTCATCTCTTCACCCCCTCTTCTGTTTGTGGCTGACACAGCAAAATAGAGGCTGTATCAAGGGTATTTCATTAGGGACTCCAAGCAGTATCAACAGAGAATAAGCATCCGGAGACGGTGAAGGAAAAGCTGGGAGTAAATAGTGTCCCAAATGTAACTTAAATTTTAGTCCTCATTGCAAATTTGACACTGAACCTCCTCCCCTCCCCCATGCAATCCAAAGCCTCCAGTACAAAAAAAGAGTATGTTGTGCATCAATTGGTGTTTATCCAGTTGCCGTTCCGGAAAGTTGCCTTTTCCTGGGTCTCATCTAGACAAAATCTTTGGATATGGCTCTGAAAAACTTCCTTTTAAAGAAACACTGCCTGTCCCATTTCCAAGGACCTGTCTGGCATGTGTGAGCCTCTAGTTCTAGCCTCAATAATATCACCACCACCACCATCACCATCACCACCACCCCAACCAGCAGCATCAGCAGCACCACACAGAAAAGAAAAATTCATGAAAATAGTTCCCTAAAAATGCTCTTGGATCCCAGTTAACTGTAGTCAGTGATTAGGTGACGAGCATGTATCGGTTGGTTCATCTTGAAGGGAATCATTAACGACAGGTTATCAAGTGATCCCATAGTATTGTAATACTAATTGTATTACTTTATTGGTTCCATGATGCCTTCCAATACAAAAGTCCTTGGTTGCTCACATTCCTTGTGTTGAGTGCTGTAGAGTTTACATATAGATTATGTATACAGATCTGGTACTTGTAAATTATGTCTAACATGGTTTACCTAACACAGGGTAAATAATTATTATGTTGCATTCTAGAGAAAGTAATAAGAAATAAAGTCTGTACATATTCTGTATAGCCATGAAATCTTTTCTAACAGTATACATCTGTGTGAAGTTGAACCCTCTGATTCAAAACCCCAGCTACAGAGGGGTGGACCATATATACTAAGCATGCTTGGCACCAAGTAGGTGTTAAATGATAGCTAGATAAAACGTCTCTAATTAAGTAATTAGATTGGTGTATCATAAAAGACAAGTGGAGAACTTCAGCACCCATTGTACATGTGCTGTGTTTATTGTTCTTGGTGTACTAGTATCTTATGGTAATTATCTCAGTCATTTGGTTTTCATTTCAGAGAAGGAAACACACTTGAAGGGCTTGGTTAAATTTAATGGTAGCTATGGGACTCAAGACATGATTCAGCAGTTAAGAGCACGAGTTGCTCTTCCAGAAGACGGGTTTGATCCCCAGAGTGCACATGGTAGCCCACAACCATCTGTAATTTCACTTCCAATGGATCCAGTATCCTCTTCTAGCCATGAGGTCCCCATGTACTCATATGGAACATAGACTTGTAAGGAGTAAGGTTTTTCCTCCTGCTGCTGGTCTTGTCCTGCCGCCGCGCCAGCCCCAATTAACACACCGAGACGCTGTATTTGATATAATGCTGTTGGCCAGGTACTAGTTTCTTATCGGCTAGCTCTGTAAGTATTAACCCATTTTTGTTAATCTAAGTATTTCCACGTGGTTTCATCTTACCGGGGAATGGGGCCTGTGTCTGATCTCCCCAGTCTCTCCATGCTGACTCCTCCTTACTGTGTAGGCACAGGGAGACTCGATGTTGTCTCCAATGGTCTGGACCTTTTGTCCGGTAAGAGAAGACCACTTGGAAATACTTAGATTTATAGAAATGGGTTAGTAATTAAGACAGAGCTGGCCAATAAGAAGCCCTAGTCAACAGCCAACAGCTTTTAATTAATATAGTGTCTTGTATGTTATTTGGGGGCTGAAGCGGCAGCAGGACCCAGGAGGCTGGCGGGAAGGGGCACACATAACACATGAGAATCATTTTTTGAGGCTCAGGGTTTTCAAGAGATTTCCAAAACATTACAGGTCATTGCTGTTGCATTTGGTTGCCCCCCAGACGTGGAAATTAAGTCCTTACTGCTGGTGACACCATGCAATTCTGACACAAAGACCCATAGGGCCTGAACTAGATCTGACCTTAAAGCCTCTTCCCTGAGAACTAGTTTTCATGTGAAATTCCAAAGGAAGGAAGCCACCCACAGTCCTACCCAGCTAAGATGCCAATGAACCACAACAGCAACCCTCATGTCATGATACCCTTATGCTCACCTGAATAGCTGTCTAAACATGACCTGATCAAGGATGGCAGCAAGTGACTTGCCAGCATGGAAGTGGGAAAGTCCTTGAGGCCCCACAACCTCATACAAAGAAGCACAGGCAACTGTGCTAGTTCTCAGAGTCTGGGAACTAGCCTTCCCCCCCCCCGGGGAAAAGCACCCTAACTGGTTATCCAATACCAAATGGTCAGTTCTGAAAAGGCATACATACAAGTAACATGTACATACACATATACATATACATACACACATACATATATTTGTATGTACATAACAATAATGTCTTAGTTTGAGTTTCTGTTGTTGTGAAGAGACACCATAACCACAGCAACACTTACAAAGGAAGTGTAACTGTGGCTAGCTTACAGTTTCAGAAGTTTAGTCCATTATTTTCATGGTGGCATAAGGCAGACATGGTGCTGGAGAAGGAGCTGGGAGTTCTACATCTTGATCTGCAGACAGCAGAGGCAACTGTCTCATTGGATGTAGCTTGAGCACAGGAGACCTCAAAGCACACCCCCACCACTGTGACACACTTCCTCCAGCAAGGCCACATCTGCTCGAACAAAGTCCTACCTCCTATTAGTGCCACTCACAAATAAAGCAAAAGAAACCATGAATCTAAATGAGACCAAGGTGGGTTATGTAGGAAGGGGGAAAGGGAAGGGAGACATGATGTAAGAAGGAATGGAGGGAGAATATGATCAAAACACATCGTATGCATTACAAGATTCTCAAAATATCAATAAAATATGTTCCAAAATATCCAATTTTAGTTTAGTTTAATGGCAAATAACTGCCATAGAAGTAGGCCTTACACCAAAAACTACATTCTTGTCATCAGAACACAGCCGCTGCTCATAAATTAATAAACAGATTTTAAAACCCGAGAAAAAAGAAAAGCTATAGAAACTAATAACATTCTGAGGTCATACATGTACAAATCACAGCAAACTACAGGAAAATAAATGTTTGGTCATTTGCATGTGAGGGATAATGAACTTTCTGAACCACATCCCAGAGGATAGATGGCTGGTCTTGCCTTATTGTCAACTGCCACTGACACGTCTGACTCCCTTGACCCATCTCCTTCCTGCCAACCATTTCTTAAAATGGTTCTTGTTAACTCTCACAGGCAAAGAAATGAGGCACTGGCCAAAGCTGAGACCATATTCAAAACTCCACCAAAACTAGCTAGGAGAGAAGAAGGGAGTGGGGATAAAAAGATTATCCAACTTGGCTAAAGAGTTTATAGACTATTCCATCTAAATATAGCATATACCTCTGTGTACAAATGTTTGCTTTAGCATTTTATTATCCAATATATGACTCAGAACCTCTTACAGTCCTTCAAAGTAAGAGAAACTCTTAATTGCTAGATGACATGGCCAAGATGAGC